AGGCAAAATGGTTGTCTGCTGAGACACTGGAAGTAGCCCAAGAAAGGAGGAAAGCAAAAGGAAACAGGGATAAGGGGAGAGATATGCCCAGTTAAATGCGCAATTCCAGAGGTTAGCCAGAAGAGATAAGGAACTATTTTTAAACAAGCAATGCATGGAAGTGGAAGAAGACAACAGAATAGGAAGGACAAGAGACCTCTTCCAAAAAATTAGAAACATTGGAGGTAAATTTCAGGCAAAAATTGGTATGATAAGAAACAAAGATGGCAGGGACCTAACAGAAGCTGAAGAGATCAAGAGAAGGTGGCGAGACTATACAGAAGATCTGTATAGGAAGGATAATAATATTGAGGATAGTTTTGACGGTGTGGTGAATGAATTAGAACCAGACATCCTGAGGAGTGAGGTTGAATGGGCCTTAAGAAGCATTGCTAACAACAAGGCAGCAGGAGACGACGGGATTCCAGCTGAACTGTTTAAAATCTTAAAAGATGATGCTGTCAAGGTGATGCATGCCATTTGCCAGCAAATATGGAAAACACAAGAATGGCCATCAGACTGGAAAAAATCAACTTATATCCCCATACCAAAAAAGGGAAATGCGAAAGACTGCTCAAACTTCCGTACAGTGGCCCTTATTTCTCATGCCAGTAAGGTAATGCTCAAGATCCTGCAAGGAAGACTCCAGCAATACATGGAGCGAGATTTGCCAGATGTTCAAGCTGGGTTTAGAAAAGGCAGAGGAACGAGAGACCAGATTGCCAATATCCGCTGGATAATGGAGAAAGGCAGGGAGTTTCAGAAAAACATCTACTTCTGCTTCATTGACTATTCTAAAGCCTTTGACTGTGTGGATCATAATACATTGTGGCAAGTTCTTGGTGGGATGGGCATCCCAAGCCACCTTGTCTCTCTCCTGAGGAATCTGTACAAGGACCAAGTAGCAACAGTCAGAACTGACCACAGGAACAACAGACTGGTTCAAGATTGGGAAAGGCGTACGGCAAGGCTGCATACTCTCACCCAACCTTTTAACTTGTATGCAGAACACATCATGCGATGTGCGGGGCTGGATGAATGCAAAGCTGGGGTGAAAATTGCTGGAAGAAACATTAACAACCTCAGATATGCAGATGACGCCACTCTGATGGCCGAAAGCGAGGAGGAGCTGAGGAGCCTTCTAATCAAGGTGAAAGAAGAAAGCGCAAAAGCCGGGTTGCAGCTAAACGTCAAAAAAACCAAGATTATGGCAACAAGAATGATTGACAACTGGAAAATAGAGGGAGAAACCGTGGAGGCCGTGACAGACTTTGTATTTCTAGGTGCAAAGATTTGCTGCAGATGCAGACTGTGGCCAGGAAATCAGAAGACGCTTACTTCTTGGGAGGAGAGCAATGTCCAGTCTCAATAAAATAGTAAAGAGTAGAGACATCAGACTGGCAACAAAGATCCGCCTAGTCAAAGCCATGGTATTCCCTGTAGTAACCTACGGATGTGAGAGCTGGACCTTAGGGAAGGCTGAGCGAAGGAAGATCGATGCTTTTGAGCTGTGGTGTTGGAGGAAAGTTCTGAGAGTGCCTTGGACTGCGAGAAGATCCAACCAGTCCATCCTCCAGGAAATAAAGCCTGACTGCTCATTGGAGGGAAGGATACTAGAGACAAAGTTGAAGTACTTTGGCCACATCATGAGGAGACAGCAAATCCTAGAGAAGACAATTATGCTGGGGAAAGTGGAAGGCAAAAGGAAGAGGGGCCGACCAAGGGCAAGATGGATGGATGGCATCCTTGAAGTGACTGGACTGACCTTGAGGGAGCTGGGGGTGGTAACGGCCGACAGGGAGCTCTGGCGTGGGCTGGTCCATGAGGTCACGAAGAGTCGGAGACGACTGAACGAATGAACAACAACAACTAATTGCTGGGATTTATAGTTCACCTACAATCAAAGAGCGCTCTGAATCACACCACCGATAGAAATGGGCCAAACATCCCACACAGAACCCCCATAAACAACAGAAAAAACTGGAGGGATTTTGGATGAACTGACAGTGATTTAGGGGAGATGTAGTTCACCTACATCTAGAGAGCACTGTGAACCCAAACAACTATGCCAAAGGGATTCTTAAGACCATCAGAAATATGTGTTTTCTAATGGTCTTTGGCGACCCCTCTGAAACCCTCTCGTGACCTCTCCAGGGGTCCCGACCCCCAGGTTGAGAAACACTTTATTACATTATAATATTATAAATATTATATGTACATATATAAATCAGAAGACGCTTCCTTCTTGGGAGGAGAGCAATGTCCAATTTCGATAAAATAGTAAAGAGTAGAGACATCAGACTGGCAACAAAGATCCACCTAGTCAAAGCCATGGTATTCCCTGTAGTAACCTACGGATGTGAGAGCTGGACCTTAGGGAAGGCTGAGCGAAGGAAGAGAGATGCTTTTGAACTGTGGTGCTGGAGGAAAGTTCTGAGAGTGCCTTGGACTGCGAGAAGATCCAACCAGTCCATCCTCCAGGAAATAAAGCCCGGCTGCTCACTGGAGGGAAGGAGACTAGAGACAAAGTTGAAGTCCTTTGGCCACATCATGAGGAGACAGGAAAGCCTAGAGAAGACAATTATGCTGGGGAAAGTGGAAGGTAAAAGGAAGAGGGGCCGACCAAGGGCAAGATGGATGGATGGCATCCTTGAAGTGACTGGACTGACCTTGAAGGAGCTGGGGGTGGTGACGGCCGACAGGGAGCTCTGGCGTGGACTGGTCCATGAGGTCACGAAGAGTCGGAGATGACTGAACGAATGAACAACAATATAATATTTAATATATTGCACATAATATAATATTTAATATATAATATATTGTATATAAATACAATATATTATATTACATTACATCAGTGGTTCTCATCCTGTGGGTCCCCAGAGGTTTTGGCCTACAACTCCCAGAAATCCCAGCCAGTTTACCAGCTATTAATATTTCTGGTAGTTGAAGGCCAAAACATCCGGGGACCCACAGTTTGAGAAACACTGCATTACATTATATGATATTATTAGCATAGCACAGGCGACAAGATAAAACTGTCCCCTGGCCCCCTCTCTCTTCACTCTTCGCACAACAGCTTTATAAATAAGCCCCTTGGTCTCCCTACGGACGTCCCGGTCCTCAAACACTCTCTGCTTCATTCGGAAAAATGCTGCACTCGCAGAGCTCAGGCGGTGTTGTATTTTAGTGTCAATGTTGTATTATTGAAGGCTTTCATGGCTGGAATCACTAGGTTCTTGTAGGTTTTTTCGGGCTATAGGGCCATGTTCTAGAGGCATTTCTCCTGACGTTTCGCCTGCATCTATGGCAAGCATCCTCAGAGGTAGTGAGGTCTGCTGGAAATAGGAAAATGGGTTTATATATCTGTGGAATGACTGGGGTGGGCCACAGAGCTCTTCTCTGCTGGAGGTAGGTGTGAATGTTTCAGCTGACCACCTTCATTAGCATTTGAAGGCTTGACTGAGCCTGGGAAAATGTTCTGTTGAGAGGTGTTAAGATGTGCCTGGTTGTTTCCTCTCTGCTGTTTTGCTGTAGTAATTTTAGAGTTATTTAATACTGGTAGCCAGATTTTGTTCATTTTTGTTCATTTCACAGATATATAAACCCATTTTCCTATTTCCAACAGACCTCACTACCTCTGAGGATGCTTGCCATAGATGCAGGCGAAACGTCAGGAGAAATGCCTCTAGAACATGGCCATATAGCCCGAAAAAACCTACAAGAACCTAGTGTCAATGTTATTTATTTATTTATTTATTTATTTAGAAGTTTTCTATACTGGCCTTCTCACCTCAAACGAGGGACTCAGGTGGGTTTACAGCATATATGCAATACAATAATATACAAGTACAACAGAGTGCAACATCATTACAGATTAAAATACTACAATAAAATACAATAAAAACATCACCATCACAATTACCCAAGCCAAGTCGTCAATACAGTCACAGTCATAGTCATAGTCACAGTTCATCATCCTCCTTCCTTATGGACGGAGGTTAAAGATTCAGTCCTCGAATGCCACATTCCAGAGCCAGGTCTTTAGTCGTTTCCTGAAAGTCAGGAGGGAGGGAGCAGATCTAATCTCTAGTGGGAGGGAGTGCCAAAGCCGGGGAGCCACCACCGAGAAGGCCCTGTCCCTCGTCCCCACCAACCATGATTGCGAGGGTGGTGGGACTGAGAGCAGCCCCCCCCCCTTCCCGGGAAGATCTTAATAACCTTGATGGTTCATAAGGGAGAATCCGTTCGGACAGGTAAACTGGGCCGGAGTCGTTTAGGGCAATGTTGACTTTTGTGGAACTTTTAACTGCCTTTAAGACTAAACTACAAACCCCAGAATTCTGCAGAAGGCAGATATTGGATTTAAAGTGGATTTTTTTCTCTAGTGCAATTAAGTGACTCTTCAAGCCACTCCTCATAGGGGTTGTTCTCCAGACTCAAATAATATTATAGCTTGGCAGATATCGGATTTAAAGTGGATTTTTTTCCTCTAGTGCAATTAAGTGACTCTTCAAGCCACTCCTCATAGGGGTTGTTCCCCAAACTCAAATAATATTATAGCTTCTTTAATCAATTCACCAAGCAGCCTTCCTCTGTTTTCTAACCAGATGGGCTCTGGGTGCAAGTTTAACAGGAGACACCTTTCCTAGAATAGGAAGAAGTGGGGTGAGTGGGGTGGAGGGGGAGAGAAACATCACTACCTGTTGAACTTCACCCTCCTCTTAATTGGCGGCTATACAAACCCAATAGCCGGGAATTGCGTCCTGGCAGGGGATGGAAGGTCTCTTTTGTGTTCATTTTGGGGCGAAGGAGGGGGGTGAAGTGTCCAAATTGGGGAGGGGGGTGTTAGGCAAAAGGTGGGGAGCAATCCAAGGCCCTGGGAGCCGGTCCCTCCTCATTCCCTCCTCCTTTTCCTTGCCCCCCCCCCCTTCTCTGGTCCAGGAGCATCTCCTCTCTATGTGTGTGTGTCTCTCTCTCTCTCTCTCTGAAAGGATCTGCTGCTGAAGCCTCCAGAGAAGGGATCGGCTGCTGGATCTCCTCCCTCTCCCCCTCCTCCTCCCCCCCTTTCCGATCTCCATTAGCTGTGACCCCTCCCCAAAATAAGGAAATCTCATCATGCCGCTTTGGGCGAGGAAGCTCTGAGCCAACCGGCCCCTGCCTCTGCTGATCCGGCTGCAGGAGGGAGAGCCAGGTAGGCCCACTGCTGGGAGGGAAAGGGAGGGGGAAAGGAGGGGTGGGTTCAACCCCGAAGGACCCCCCACCCCCCCCACCCCCACTGCATCCCTCCCTCGACCTGTCCTCCATTGCTGGGGGTGGGAGGGCTGTCCTTGGGAGACCCCATTCAGGACTGCCTCTGTCCTTGGGTTCTCTTTGCTTTGGTTGGAAAGGAAGCCCCCTCCCCCCTCTCCATCCACCCCCTCCCCATATATTCCACACTGAATAGCTGTGTCTTTAAGCTCCTACACTTCTTCTCCCCCCTCCATCCCTCTCTCTCTCTCTCTCTCTCTCTCTCTAGCTATCTATTATCATTATTATACTATATTTATACTATCTATATAATTGTTATTATTATATCATATTTATACTATCTATCTATTATTATACTATGTTTATACTATCTATCTATATTATTGTTATTATTATAATATTATATTTATACTATCTATCTATCTAGAATTATTATACTATATTTATACTATCTATCTAGAATTATTATACTATATACTATCTATATAATTGTTATTATTATATTATATTTATACTATCTATCTATTATTATACTATATTTATACTATCGATCTATATAATTATTATTATATTATATTTATACTATCTATCTAGAATTATTATACTATATACTGTCTATGTTATTGTCAGGGGCGGCTCATCCATTACGCGAAGTAAGCGGTCGCAGAACACTTTTTTTTGCCAGGGGCGCAGAGGCGCCTCTGTAAATGCCCCTCGACCGCCACTTGAGGAGCGCCCCCTCAGCTCACAACAGCCCTAGCAGTCCGGGGGGAGCCTCGGCTTTCTTGCCTCGCTGCCGGGTGATCCTCTTCCCAAAGGGGCCGGGCCCTTGAGCCTCGCCTAGCCCCTCTCGTGCCTGCTCCACCCGGCCACCTGGTGCGTAAGCAGAGCTGGCGCTCAATCGTTCTCCGCGTTCGCTACCTTCCCCATGACCCTTTCCCGATCCCCCGGTGCTCCACCCGCCTCCTCTCCTCTCCCCAATCCGCGAGTGGGCCAAGGGGCGGAGCCGTGGTGCCTGGCCCACTTCGGGTCCGGAGGCGTGTCTGAAGACCCCAGCGTGCGCACCAAAAGTCGCCTCTTCTCCTGACTTTCTCTTCAGCCATTGGGACCAAGAGAGAGAGAGAGAGAGCCCCTCCGGCTGGAGGTATCTCCCACCTCCGCTCCCTCCTTTGTTTTTGCGCCTACCTTCAGGAAAGGTGGGCATCTCCACCTCTCTCTCTCTCTCTCTCTCTCTCTCTTGGTCCCAATGGCTGAGGAGAAAGTCAGGAGAAGAGGTGACTTTTTGGTGCACACACTGGGGTCTTCAGGCACGCCTCCAAACCCAAAGCGGGCCAGGCAAGGGAGCAAGTGCGGCAAGTGTAGTTACTGGGATGTATAGTTCACCTACAATCAAAGAGCATTCTGAACTCCACCAATGATGGAACTGAACCAAATATGGCACACAGAACTCCCACGAACAGAAAATATATATCAATAATTGGTTTGGGGGGGGGGGCACCAAAATACTGTTTGCTTACCGTTGAAAATTACCTAGGGCCGCCTCTGGTTATTGTTATTGTTATTGTATTATATGTATAATATCTATATCTATTATTATACTATATTTATACTACCTATCTATATTATTGTTAATGTTATATTATATGTATAATATTTATCTATTATTAGACTATATTTACACTATCTATATTATTGTTATTGTTATTATATTATATGTATAATATCTATCTATTATTAGACTATATTTACACTATCTATCTATATTATTGTTATTGTTATTATATTATATGTATAATATCTATCTATTATTAGACTATATACTATTTATCTAGATTATTGTTATTATATTATATTTATACTATTATTATACTATATTTATACTATCTATCTATATTATTGTTATTATATTATATTATATTTATACTATCTATTATACTATATTTATACTATATATCTATATTATTATTATACTATATACTATCTATCTATATTATTGTTATTGTTATTATATTATATTTATACTATCTATCTATTATTATACCATATTTACACTATCTATCTATATTAATGTTATTATTATTATATTATTATATTTATACTATCTATCAATTATTATACTATATTTATACGATCTAGCTATATTACTATACTATATACAATCTATTTATATTATTGTTATTATATTATATTTATACTATCTATATTATTGTTATTATTATTATATTATATTTATACTATAGCTATTATTATACTATATGTATACGATCTATCTATATTATTGCTATTATTATTATATATTTATACTATCTATCTATTATACTATATTTATACGATCTAGCTATATTATTATACTATGTTTATATTATCTATTATTATTATTATTATACTATATTTATACGATCTAGCTATATTATTATTATACTATATTTATAATATCTATCTATTATTATTATACTATATTTATACAATCTATCTATATTATTGTTATTATTATATTATATTTATACTATCTTAGATAGATAGATAGATAGATAGATAGTCGTGTCAGGCGTGACCTGAGAAACTGCAAGTCGCTTCTGGTGTGAGAGAATTGGCCGTCTGCAAGGACATTGCCCAGGGGACACCCGGATGATTTGATGTTTTATCATCCTTGTGGGAGGCTTCTCTCATGTCCCCACAATGGAGAGCTGGAGCTGACAGAGGGAGCTCATCCGCCTCTCCCTGGATTTGAACCTGCAACCTGTCTGTCTTCAGTCCTGCAGGCACAGGGGTTTAACCCACTGCGCCACTGGGGGCTCCCTATTATTATATTGTATTAATACTATCTATCTATATTATTATTATTATACTATATTTATACTATCTATTATCATTATACTATATTTATACTATCTGTCTATCTATTGCCACCAACCAACCCAATGCTTCCATCTCCCAAGTAGATTAAAACAGATGGTCATCTGGACAGAGGGTGGGCGGGAGCGAGGGCTTAACGGTGCATCCCCTAACAGTGCATACTTTTCTTGAGCTGGATCTACACTGCCCTATATCCCAGGATCTGAGCCCAGATTGTCTATTTTCAACTGGGTTATTAATCTACAATAATTTACCGTATTTATTTATCGCATCAGAAGCGAACCAAGGGTACAGTTGTGATGTATTTTAAGAATACCAAGTTTGCAAACTTTGCGTTCTATTAAATGTCCTTTGACCGGTAGCTGGACACTTGGGAGCGCCTCTGGTGTTGCTATAAGAAGGTCCTCCATGGTGCATGTGGCAGGGCTCAGGCTGCATTGTAATAGGTGGTCTGTGCTTTGCTCTTCTCCACACTCCCATGTCATGGACTCCACTTTGAAGCCCCATTTCTTAAGGTTGGCATAGATACCGAGAATTGGGAAGCCCTGGCCCTTGAGTGCTTTAGCTGGAGGTCAGCTGTGACCAGCAGTGGTGTGGAATTCAAAGAGGCACGAATGGAGGGTGAAAGGGAGGAATGTGCCATGAGGAGTGAACCCTGACTGTGACTGCCTTCCACGTTGATGTCCTCACTTTGGAAAAACATGCGGGTCAAGAATAGACAATGGCTTCAAACTACAAGAGAGGAGATTCCATCTGAACATTAGGAAGAACTTCCTGACTGTGAGAGCCGTTCAGCAGTGGAACTCTCTGCCCCGGAGTGTGGTGGAGGCTCCTTCTTTGGAGCCTTTTAAGCAGAGGCTGGAAGCTTTTAAGCAGAGGCTGGATGGCCATCTGTCAGGGGTGATTTGAATGCAATATTCCTGCTTCTTGGCAGAATGGGGTTGGACTGGATGGCCCATGAGGTCTCTTCCAACTCTTTGATTCTATGATTCTATGATTCTAATAGGGTTATATATCCACCGCCAAGACACTATACTTCAGCGTTTCTCAACCTGGGGGTCGGGACCCCTGGAGGGGTCGCGAGAGGGTGTCAGGGGGGTCACCAAAGACCATCAGAAAACACAGTATTTTCTGTTGCTCATCTGGGTTCTGTGTGGTAGGGTTCTGAATGCTCGTTGATTGTAGGTGAACTATAAATCCCAGCAACTACAACTCCCAAATGTCAAGGTTCTGTGTGGGAGGTTTGGCCCAATTCTATCATAGGTGGGGTTCAGAATGCTCTTCAATTGTAAGTGAACTATAAATCACAGGAACTACAATTTCCAAATGGCAAGGTGTATTTTCCCCAAACTCCACCAGTGTTCACATTTGGGCATATTGAGTATTCGTTCCAAGTTTGGTCCAGATCCATCATTGTTTGAGTCCACAGTACTCTCTGGATGTAGGCGAACTACAACTCCAAAATGCAAGGTCAATGCCCACGAAGCCCTACCAGTATTTTCTGTCGATCATGGGAGTTCTGTGTGCCAAAATTGGTTCAGTTCCATCATTGGTGGAGTTCAAAATGCTCTTTGATTGTAGATGAACTATAAATCCCAGCAAATGACAAAACCAATCTCTCCCCCAACCCCACCAGTATTCAAATGTGGGAGTATTGGGTCTTTGTGCCAAATTTGGTCCAATGAATAAAAATACATCTTGCATATCAGATAGTTACATGACGATTCATAACAGTAGCAAAATTACAATGAAAGTAATGTTGTGGTTGGGGGTCACCACAACATGAAGGACTGTATTAAGGGGTCACGGCATTAGGAAGGTTGACAACCACTGCTATACTTGGAAGGGTATCATACGCGGACAATGAGGGATTGCGTAAGTAGAGTACTGTACTCAGGACTAACTACAGAGTTGAGGCCATGATCCGAAGCCCTCTCACCTCTCCCTATGTGATGGATTTTTATTGTTTTCTTTTCCAAGGGTCTGGAAAGGTCCAAAGTGTGTCCATCCAGACCAAACAGTCTCATTGCACCGACGAGTATTCAGAACCCTCCAAGCAAACTTCAGAGCTCCACAGATGTCTTTTTC